AGGATACTTGCTACTCCTACATACACTTTGCGTCACACTTCACAGACACGCACATGCATATATATATACTACATCTAGGTTTTTCTCTCTTTTTTAAATAGCTCTTGTTTTCTGTATTTCTTCTATTGTCCATGGGGAATGGAAAAGAATCTTTCCTCCGTAAGCCATGCGTGTCGTATGAGGCGACTTAAAATGCCGGGAGCAATGGGCTAGTAAACCCCGTCTCTGTTAGTCATTACTGAAAACGAAAGAAGAAAAACTGGGAATGCTTGAATGTGCGTGGATGTAGTGCGGATGACAGAAACAGGATGATTGCTGATGTTATGAATGAAAGAAGTTGGATGTCACTGGCCCTAAGCGAACAAAGCTGAAGGGGGTAGGGGAGTTTCAGTGGGGGGAGGAAATAAATGGGATTAAATTGGAGTATCTGAGAGAGTTAGAGCAAAGGAAGGGGTAGTAGTAATGGTGAAGGATCAGTTATGGAAGTAGAAAAGAGAAAATGCATGTGTAAAAAATTCAATAATTATGTGGATTAAAAGTAAATGTTGGATGCGAAAAGTGGGTCAATAATAAGCGTGTATTGCACCATGGGGGAAGAGAGGATATGTAGAGGATTGAGAGAGAGATTTTGGGAAGATGTTAAGTGATGGTATAGGAGCTTTGAACCAAGTGAGGCGTATTTGGGTAGATGACCTGAATGCTAAAGTAGGAGAAGAAACTTTTGATGAGGGTCGTGGTAGGTAAGTTTGGGGTGCCAGGTGTAAATGATAATGGGAGCCCTCTTGATGACTTTTGATATAGAAAGGGTTTAGTTTTAGGTAATACATATTTTAAGGAAAAGTGGATAAATAAGTATACAATATATGATGTAGGGGAAATGACAGTAGTTTGTTGGATTATGTATTGGTAGATAAAAGACCTGTTGAATAAACTTCAGATGTACATGTTTATTAGAGGGGCACAGATATTATCAGGACACTTTCTAGTTGTAGCTACAGAGTAAAAAGGTGATGGGATTTAAGGAGAATTAGAAGCTTCAGGGGTAAGAGGAGAGGTGAAGGTTTATAAACTAAATGAGGAGGCAGTAGGGTAAGATATATTCAGTATTGGAGGATAGATGGGCTAATGAGAGCATAGGAAATGGGGCTCCGAAGAGGTATGGGGTAGGTTTTAAAAATGTAGTGATAGAGTGTTTCAGCCAGAAGAAGTTTGTGGTTACAAGAAAGTGGGTGCGGGAGGAAAAGAGGAGCGATTGGTGGGAATGATGATGTAAAAAAGAGTAGTAAGTGAGAAAAAGTTAGCACTATGAGAAGTTCTTACAAAGTAGAAGATGATGCAAAGGAGGGAAGAGTAAAATGGAGAAAAAAGAGGAGGTTAAGAGTGTGGGTGAAAGCAATGTATAAAAAGAGGCAAAATGAGAGAGTGGGTGAAAGATGTTATCAACAAATTTTGTTGAAATAAGAAAAAGATTTGGAGTGAGATTAATCAAGTTAAAGGAACCTAGAGAACAAATAGATTTGTCAGTTAAAATATAGGAGAGGAGAGTTATTAAAAAAAATAAATATGGGAGGGGGGGGAGTTACAGGTATTGGGAAGATGGAGGTATATTTTGAGGAATTGTTAAATGTTGTTGAGATAGGGAAGGTGTGTTTCGTTGTACAGGGCAAGGAGGAAATAACATCTTGTAGGAGTGAGGAAGGTAGCCATTTGTGAGTGTGGGAGAAGTTCGTGAGGCAGTAGGTAAAAATGAAAGGGGTAAGGCAGCGGGATTGATGGGATAAAGATAGAAATGTTAAGCAGGTGGGATGTGTGTTTGGAGTGGTTGGTGCAATTATTTAATAAATGTATGGAAGAGAGTAAGGTAACTAGGGATTGGCAGAGAGCATGCATAGTTCCTTAGTTTAAAAGGCAAAGGGGAGACAAAAGAGAGTGCAAAAATTATATTGGGATAAGTAAGTTTGAGTATACCTGGTAAAGTGTATGGTAAGAGTTATTATTGAAAAGAATTAAGTGTTTTTAGTCGGGAATAGGATAGCTGATGAACAAGAAGGCCTTTAGGAAAGGTTAAGGGGTGTGTTGGACCAGGTGTTTACAGTGAAACATATAAGTGAACAGTATTTAGATAAGGCTAAAGAGGTCTTGTGGCATTTAGACATTTGGGAAAAGGCGTATGACAGGGTGGGATAGGGGGGGCAATATGGCTGATGTTGAGGTGTATGGTTGTAAGAGGTAGGTTTACTGAAAGCAGGGAAGAGTTTTTTTACAAGGATAGTGAGGGCTCAATTTAGAGTATGTAGGAAAGAGGGAAATTATTTCCAGTTAAAAGTACGCCCTTAGACATGGATGGGTGCTGTCACCGTGGTTGTTTAATATATATATAGATGGGGTTGTAAGAGAAGTAAATGCGAGGGTCTTGGCAAGAGTCGTGAGTTAAAAAGATAAAGAATCACACATAAAGGGGAGTTGTCACAGTTGCTCTTTGCTGATTGACACTGTGCTACTTGGGAGTTTTGAAGAGAAGTTTGCAGAGATTGGTGGATGAATTTGGTAGGGTTGCAAATAGAAGAAAATTAAAAGTGATACAGGAAGAGTGAGGTTACGTTCGGATAAACCAAAAAGATTAGGTGATGTAAAGATTGGATATCAGATTGGAGGGAGAGAGCATGGGTGAGGTGAATGTATTCAGATATTTGGGAATGGAGTGTCAGCGGATGGGTCTATGAAAGGTGAGGTGAATCATAGAATTGATGAGGGGAAAAGGGTGAGTGGTGCACTGTAGGAGTCTGTGGAGGACAAGAACTTTGTCCTTGGAGGCAAAGAGGGGAATGTATGAGAGTTATAGTTTTACCAACGCTATTATTTGGGGGTGAAGCATGGGTGATGAATGTTGCAAGCGAGGAGAAGCTGGAGGCAGTTGGAATGTCATGTCTGGGGCAATGTGTGGTGTGAATATAATGCAGTGAATTCGGTAGTTGGAAGTTAGGAGTACGGTGAGGGGGGTATTGCCAAAAACTGTTGTCCAGAGGGCTGAGGAAAGGGTGTTGAGGGGGTTCGGACATGTAGAGAGAATGGAGCGATACAGAGTGAACTTCAGAGTGTATCGTCTGTAGTGGAAGGAAGGCGGGTGTATGGGTCCGGCCTAGGAAAGGTTGGAGGGGCGGGGGTAAAGGGGTTTTGTAGTGCGAGGGTGCTGGACTTCCGCAGGGCATACGTGTGCGTGTTTGATAGGACGTGAATGGAGACAAATGGTTTTTTAATAACTTGGACGTTGCGTTGGAGTGTAAGCAAAGTTTTAACATTTAGGACGGGGTTCAGGGGAAACGGGCAAGCCGGACTTGAGTCACTGGAGATGGGGATGTACAGTGCCGCACTCTGAAGGAGGGGTGTTAATGTTGCAGTTTAAAAAACTGTAGTGTAAAGCACTCCTTTGGCAAGACTGTGATGGAGTGAATGATTGTGAAAGTTTTTCTTTTTGGGCCTATAAGCCTTGGTGAGACCTCGGCGGTACCGTGTGTGATAATAAATAATTTATGTATATATATATATATATATATAAATATATTATATATATATATATATATATTATATTTAATATATATATTATATATATATATATATATATTATCATGTGCATCTACATGGAATCTACCTGGGAGGGTGCTCTGGGCATCAATTACCCCCTCCGCAGATAGGTCCATGACCAGTCAATTCGTGGATCAGGGGCCTGATCAACCAGGGCTGTTACCGCTGACAGCACGCAAGCCTTTCGTACGAATCAAAGCTTGGCCAGCTAGTATGATCATGTGAGTGGACATATACATGTGAATATAACATGGTACACTATATTAAACTTTTTTGTGTGTTGCCTATTTATAAGTGTGGAATTAGAATGTATGCCACATATGCATGGTTATAGTCATGCTTAGGTAGACATGTACCGACATTTTTGCATATTTAGGTGTTTGTAGTTCTGTATTTGTTATTCTTTTTCTTGTTGATATAGTAAATTTATGAATAATTATATATTTATTATTATATATATATATTATATATAATATTATATTTTTTAAATATTTTACTATATATATATAATATATTTATATATTATATATATATATAATATATATATTATATAATGACAGTGGCGGTTCTGGTATTACGCCTTCTAAGTAAGTTTATTCAGTTATACACAATTTCACTTACATAGATTATATACATGGCAGCATATGTGTAACGAACCTGGGATTAACACAAAAAAAAATCAGACAGTGTGAATTATTGCAGCTGCATTTAAGAATTCTCTCACTCACGAAATTCAAAAACGCTACAAAATTGATTAATTTTAATAGTTTTCCATCATTCAGTTTCCCTTTGTATTGGTTTAAAATTCCTTTCAAACTGTAGTGACATTCTGCTCTTTTTCGATCTTTCGTTTGATTAAAAATATTCAAAGTTGCCAAATTATTATTTCAGCATTGTAAAATAAATTATTTTGCCTCACACAAAACAAAATCTGAATGAGTATTATCCTGGTCTTAAGATACATCAGCTGATAAAGCAGATGACGCGTTCAGAAAAGGTAAGGCCGCCGCGTCTGAGGCCTAAATACACCAAAAATTCGATAATATATGAAAAAATGAGTGGTTAATCTCTACGAAATAGAGCAAAGATTGGCAACATTGTTGACGTGTGCGACTCGTCTCTGTACGATAATTATCTATAAATCTATCGTTATATAACAACTACGTCATCAGCATGACGCAGCCCAGCTCACCATAAACAATACACGTGCTAGCGGCGACTCGCTTCATCATAAAACAGTATCACAGGTATTTTTTTCCTTTTCTTTGGTGTATTTTTGAGCTAGATCTTCCTAAATAGTAACTGGCAACATTCGGTAGCTGTGAGAAGAGCTGCTCTCACCATCTCAAAGTCCAGTGCGACTGGAAGTCTGAAGAGAGAGGGATGTGTCACTTTGTCTGACAGCGACTACCCTTGGGACGTTACTTTTTGCCTTTCATTGTATACATTTTTGGTAAACAATGCCTGCAAAGAAGAAACAGTTTGCCAAGAACATTAGCAGCAAGAGGAAAAGGCACATAGAAGCAATGATAAGGTCTATACAAGCAAAGAGAGCAGCAGCTGCTGTGGTTGGTGACGCCGCCACGATGCTAGTACCACCACGTGGTGACGCCGCCACGATGCTAGTACCACCACGTGGTGACGCCGCCACGATGCTAGTACCACCACGTGGTGACGCTGCCACGATGCTAGTACCACCACGTGGTGACGCCGCCACGATGCTAGTACCACCACGTGGTGACGCCGCCACGATGCTAGTACCACCACGTGGTGACGCCGCCACGATGCTAGTACCACCACGTGGTGACGCCGCCACAATGCTAGTACCACCACGTGGTGACGCCGCCACGATGCTAGTACCACCACGTAGTGACGCCGCCACAATGCTAGTACCACCACCCTCCTCTCAACACCTGTCCTTGTTCACTGCTACTGAACTATTGGATATTTCACGTTCAGAAACAACTTGAATTAATGGAGAAGAACATGAAGGAACAACGGAAGCAAAGAGGAATGAAGAGGAAAAGGGAGGTGGACACGTCCTACGAGCCTGGAGGACATTAGATAATCATGTGTCCACCTACATCCAGTCATAGGTACGTAATTATTAGTGTTTTTTTGGTATATTTTTATATTGGTATGTGTATAAATATCATATATGGGTGCAATTACATGTATCTGTACATAATCACTGGGAATAAGATTTTGAGAATTCATTTCTTTCTTTTCAGATTGATTGGGATGGATTGTTATGATTGGCCAGCCACCAGAGAACTTCAGGATAAAGGGATCTTCATGGAACTTCAGGAATAATGTCTATATAACCAGTTCTACTCTCAATAAACGTATAAAGGCACTATGAGTATTTTTACCCACTGTACAGTAATGTTCAATGTATTTGTTGATTTTTTTCAAAAGTGCATTTATTTGTATTTTTCTGAGGTAAAACCATTATTTATGAACCGATCATTCTGAATTTTACAAAAGTTATTCAGGGGACCCTGTTTGACTTTGTAATGGAGTTGTCTTGGGTAATAATACCTTCAGTTTTGCATAAATTGATATAAAGTGCAAAAAAAAAAAATTTAAAGTCAAGACAATAATATTTTTTGGGGGTACCATAAAACATGTTATTGCATTATTTATATCCATTAGAAAGTCAATTTGGCATTACTTTATCATTTGTGATTATCAACAATGATTTTGAGATTGTCAATATTGACTTGCGTTGCTATAAGTGTTGCCATGTCCAATTTTTCACATTTTTATTTTTTATAACTTTATTTATTGGACGATCTTGATGCAACTTTCACCACATGAGGCTCAACATGCCTAAAGTCTCTGGTAAAAAAATAAACGAAATCGAGCAAAGGAAAAAAAAAATTTAGGCTGCCTGTCACCGTAAAGCACCCTTCTGGCAAGACAGTGATGGAGTGAATGATGGTGAAAGTTTTTCTTTTTCGGCCAGCCCTGCCTTGGTGGGAATCAGCTGGTGTGTTAATAAAAAAAAATTTATGGTTGTATTCTCATTTTCTTGGTGTCATTTTATAGAATGGAAGATATGTTACAGAAAATGAGATAATTTTGATTGGTTTTACAATGAAAAGTACCTTGAAATTGAGCTCAAAGTAGCAGAAATGTTTGATTTTTGCCAACGTTCAAAAGTAAACAAATCATGCCACGTGTCGAATACACATCAATTGGTGAGTCTAATATTCTTTCACATGTGTGCTGATATTATTTATATCATTTTTACACTAATGCAGTAGTCTGCATAACAGTAAATCTTCAATTCTTTGTCAAAATAAAAGTTTGAAGTGGAAAGCAAAAGAAATGTAAGAGGGGCCTGGGGACGTGACTAACGATCATAGAAAATGTTATTTTAGTGCCAGGAATGTCTGTCTTGTTTATTCTGGACCCTATTTTGAAATTGGCATCTTTTTAAATTTGTGTGAAATTGGCAAAATTGCCAATTTCACACATACAGTACTTCCTTCAGCTCTCCTTTATTACGAGAAAGACATGATTTCCTTGAGTGAATTTGGGTACCTAGCTTCATGCTTAAAGTATCTAATGAGAATTTTTGTTAAATTACTGAACACCATCAATATATCATAAACTAAGTACAGTGGTACCTCGAGTTACGAACTTAATTCGTTCCAGAAGGCTGTTCGAGTGCTGATACCAAACGAATTTGTTCCCATAAGGAATAATGTAAATTAGATTAGCCCGTTTCAGACCCCCAATAATATACTTACAAAAGCACTTACAAAAATACACCTACATAATTGTTCAAGTTTGGAGCTGTTCGAAAGTAACCTCTTCAAGGGGGGCTCCTTGGCGTGGTGAAGAGGCTCTTGGTCTGAGGAATTAGCCCTGTAGGTCTTCTTCCTCAGACCAAACCTAATTACCCCCCATTCTCCCCTCCCCTATCCCATCCTCCCCTTTTTCCATTCCTCCTCCTCCCCACCCCTCCCTTTTGCCCTTCCTGTTTTTGGCCTTTGGGATTTCTCCCACAGGTGCGCTAGTTCCTAGGTAGGGGAAAGGACACCGGGGTCCATCCCATTCCATTGAGGTTCTTGGCGGTGGCGTAGTTTGCCGTGGAATCTGGATTGCCTGGGGATGTCCCGATCCCTCTCTGGTATCCCGGAGTAGCTTTGGGTATCTTTCAGGCGACGGGTGTATCTCTGGAAGCCACCTTTCGGATTCTGGGGGTGGTGGCCGAAGGAGGTATGCTTTGTGGCAGATATCCGGCTGCCCTCTCTTTTGTCCACCGAGGTACCTCGGCAGATGTGA